AAGTATTGAAGACCTCCAGCAAGACTTTGATAAAGAGCTGGATTAGAAAATGCTTCAGAAGAAGAGGAAGAAAGTTTGACAGACAAAGAGAGGAAGCTGGTTTACAATCAGTCATGCCAGCTTTGTGAAGAGAGAGGAAGCATACCCAGAAAATAAGAAAGGGTACCCAGTTCTTTGAGAGAGAACACAGAATGCATTTGAGAGACTAAATGATGACTATGAGAAGAAGAGTTACCAGTGACAAGAATATCATCAACGCAGACTAAAAGATAGGTGAAAGAAGCAGTAGCCTCAACAAAAAGAGAATTATCACAATGACTTTTGACAAAGCCAAGACTGAGCAAGAAGTCCGAAAAAAGTGGAGAACAAAGCTCTTGGAGCTTGTTTGAGGCCATATAGAGCTTTATGTAAGTTGCAGACATGAGTAGGAAATTGAGAGCTGTCAAAACAACGAGGTTGAGCCATGTAGACATCCTCCTCAAGTTTGCCATGTAAAAATGCATTAGAAACATCCAACTGTTGAATGGGCCAAATATAATGAAGAGCAATACACAGAAATACCCTTCTAGTTGGCTGCTTTGCCACTGGACTGAAGGTGTCTAGAAAATCCACACCTGCTTCTTGAAGATAGCCTTTAGCTACAAGCCTTAGATTTGTACCTTGCAATAGAACCATCTGAATTCTTTTTGATCCTAAAAACCCACTTGCATCCGACAACATTTGGTGAGTAGGAGGAGGAACAAGAGACCGGGTGTGTTGACATTGAAGAACCTGATATTCCTCAAGCATAGATTTGTACACTCTGAAGAGCATCTTTATGGGACTTAGGCTCAGAAGTAAGTAGAGAAGCAGGAAGACACATAGTAAAGAGTTGAGCAGCTTTGGCACGAGTGATCATAGAATGAGAGTTATGAGGAGGCGGAAGAATAGGAATAGAAAGTTTGATAGCAGGTGGAGAAAAAGAAACTGGAGAAGAAATGAAACCAGGACTAGGAATAGTCGAAGCAGAATTAGAAGTAGAACTAGAAGTCGAATGAGAATAAGAATAAGGATAAGAATTGATTGGACAAGTAGAAGGAAGATCAGGAGTAGGCTAAGCAATAGGTGCCCCAAAAGAAAGACAGAATAGCAGGTTTAGCAGGGAGAAGAGGAGGCACAGCAGTGCCAGAGCTAGCAAATAGAAAAGAAAACTCATCAAAAACATGCCTTGAAATGTAAATAGTGCCAGTACAAAGATTCAAACATAGCCGTTATAACTAGGATGATAACCAATGAACACACATTCTTGAGATCTAGGTTGAAGCTTGTGAAAGGTGTAGGGTCAAAGCCAGGGATAGCATTTGCAACCAAACACTTTAAGGAATGCATAATCAGGAGCAGTGTGAAATAAGGTCTCAAAAGGACTGAGATGACCTAATTTAGGACTAGGCATTCTGTTAATCAAGTATGTTGCAGTAGCAAGAGATAGAGGACTGAGTAATAAGTGTAATGGATAAATAGCATCTAATGGTATGGCTGCAGCCTACAATACTTCAATCAATACAAATCAAAGAGCACCTGCAGCTGCAGTCCAGGCTGCAAAGACAACACAGGCACAGTCCACCAAAGCCAACGCTGCAAGAGTGATCAGTTGTAAGGCTAGCATCAGAGCTGAGGGTATACCACAAGATTGTGGAATGGTTGTATGCAATTAAATGTACTTGTAACAAACCCAGTTGGTTATACATAGTTAGTTAGTTACAGATATTAGTTTGTTAGAGATTCATTTCAACATGTATATATACAATGACCTGTAAAGAAGATATGATGGATTCAATTTTATCAAATAATATCTTTTTCATTCCCTCTCTCTAATTTCATCATGGTATCAGAGCGGTTAAGCTCAGACAAGCATCTATGGTGATCCAAGACTAAAGATCTGCAATGGCATCACAATCTGAGAAATCTTTGTCATCCTTGCCTTCTAATGTGTTGTTGTTAGTCTCTAATCTCAGTTCTCTGATTACAGTGAAGCTTGAAACTTCAAATTACTCAATCTGGAGGAGTCAGATCCAAAATTTCTTTGAAGCTACTGACTGAGCTTTTTGGTTTCCTTGATGGTTCAGCATCTTGTCCACCGTCGACAATTCTTGATAAAAACAATCAGATCTATTTCCAATCCTGACTTTCTGAAATGGAAATTGATTAATTCATGTATTCTTAGTTGCATTATTGCAACTCTTACACCTTCAATCCTTTTGTGAAATTTGGCGAACAACTTGTGGATATTCTCACCAAGGGAGTTGGGAATAAACCATTTTATGATGATCTTAGCAAGCTAGGAATGAGAGATATTCTTGTACCAGCTTGAGGGAAAGTGTTAGCATTATATATTAATTATTATCTTTTATTAATTGTCATTAGCAATAGGTTTCCTCATTTTTCCTAAAGACTTGTAATGTAAGTTTATGGTAATTAATACAAAAGGGAGTGTTAACCTAATCACATCCTAAGTTTTGATTTCTTCTAAACAAACAAGGTCTTAGTTTTTGTATTTGTTTGATGTACAAATCCTACATGCTTTGTTAGCATTATATATTTATCATTATCTTTTATTAATTGTCATTAGCTATAGGTTTCCTTATTTTGCCTAAAGACTTCTAATGTAAGTTTCTGGTTATTAATATAAAAGGGGGTCTTAACCTAATCACATCCTAAGTTTTGATTTCTTCTAAACAAAAAAGGTCTCTCTCTCTCGTGAGAAAGGAAAGAAATGATTATGGTTTCTCATCTCTTATTTGGATGAACGATTAATATAAAAGGATATATCTGTCTTTTTATTTTATTTGCTTTGTATTTAGAGAGATAATTTAGGTATTATAATTTTTTTGTAAAGAGTAAATTTTTGTTTTTCAACAAATCTCACCACTTTTGGTGAGAAACAAAACTGAAGTTTATAATCTCTTTTTGACCATTTCTTTTCATTTCTCACCTTTTTAATCATCCAAACAAGTTATGAAAATCTTAGGTAGTGTTTGGTAGGGTTTTCTAAATATGATTTGAAAATAGGAATTGTATTTTGAGTTTGTGAGTTTCGAAATTATGATTTGAGTGTGGAAAATTTGTTTGCTGAATGAGTTTTAAAAAGAGTTTTGAATTGAGTGGGGAATTTTTGATGTGACATATGATATTTGATACAAAAACTTACAATTCATAACCAAACACACAACTCAAAATTCTATTCAAAACTCATACAAAAATTTAAAAAATTCCGAAAATATTTTTTATTGAATATATAAAAATTAACATGTGTCAATTGCAAAAAAAAAAAAAAAGGGGGCAAATTACAAACACCCCACTCGAGATTTGGTGAAAATATAGATTCCCCCCTGAGGTTTGACAAATTACATCCCATCCCTTGAGGTTTATATTTTCATACCAAATTGCCCCCTGAGGTTTTTATTTTCATACAGATTTTCCCCTAATTTCTCTTAATTTGTTATGAAAATTTGACTCTCAGGGGGCAATTTGTAATTTCTCAAACCTCAGGGGGAATCTGTATTTTTACCTCTGTTGTCAGAATCTTACGATTCGCGATTCGATTCGCGATTCGATACGCAATTTCTCAAACCTCAGGGGAAATCTGTATTTTTACCAAACCTCGAGGGGGGTGTTTGTAATTTGCCCAAAAAAAAAAAAAACTAATTTACTGTTCCGGTCAACCGGCTAGACAACCGGTGGGATGTCCGGTAGGACGTCCAGTGGGACGACCGGTTAGCCCAAATTTTCTCGTCTTAGGCAGAGTTTTCAAAATTGAATGTGGAATTAACTTTTGAAAACCGTAAACAAACGTCAAACGCAAATTAAGGGGTAGAAATATATTTAGAAAATACAACCAAACCCAGGCTTATTCTCTCCATTTCTTTTCTTTTCTCACCAAACCACTAAATCCAAACAAACTATAAGGCTGGTCAAGGTGGGGCTAACCCTAAGGAGGCAAACCGAACAACATTGGCGATCCCTTAACTCTATCCTCCAAGCCACATATCCCAACATTGGTGTTCCCTACTTCCAGCCTAGCTGGTTGTCATCAAGATACTCTTCCTAGAACTATAAGTGTGTAGGAGATTAGGATGTTGCTCAGTTGTGTCATCTAAGTGAAGCAAGGAGACCAAGCAAGCATAATGGACAGGGGCTGCTCAGCTAAGGAACAAGCCCACAATTCTGGAGAAGTTAGAACATGCTCGGTCAAGCAACCCAACTAGATTGAGGGGGCATCAAGCATGTCAACCAAGAGGGAGAGACAGTGTGCTCAAGCAGAGCATCCTCAACCAAGTCAATGGGTGCTACAAGCCAGTCAATGGATATCTTGTCTCTTTAATCCCAAAGTTAGGGCATTGTGTACAATAGCCCACGCTAAGGCGGTTCAACCCCAGAGGGGGAAAATGAAAGTGCCTCATTAGTGTACATGTCATCTCATGAGGGTGACATGTGGCACCATTTTCATGTGAGATGTCAATGTGAAGGCACCGTGGCAATGCCACATAATGTACTTACAAGTTGCAACAATATTTAAACAAGCCCAAAAAACAATAAAATAAATAAGGTTTAGCACCTAAGATAGCCTATATGGAAAATATGATCATAGGTAGATAAGAAGGTGCAAGAAAGACTTTGTATAGTCAACCCCAAACAACTTGGATTACAATTCAATAATTTCAATTGATGGTTTATGATAACCTTGCTGCAGGAAAAGAAAACGTGGAAGGGATGGAGAAATTGTTTACAACCTTGCCATCATTTGTGATCAAATGGATCAAGAATGGCCCATCAATGTGAAGTTATAAATTGACATGACGTATAAATCATGCTTCATAAGACTTTTAAGAATGAAACAATCAGATACTGCTACATTATGGTCAAAATCAAACACAATGAAAGGTTAAATTGTCACAAACAGGTAAAGAAAGCGGGAGGGAAAAAACGAAAAACAAAAAAAAGTAAAGAAAGGCATAAAATACCAGAAACCCATGGTCTGCCATCAGTATTTGCAAGTTCTGCACGTAGCTTTTCAACTTCACGTGCCATGGAAACCAAGTTCTTCTCCATCGCTTGTCTTTGTTCCATCAGCTCAATATTTGCCTTCTTTTCATAATCAATAGCATTTCTACAAGGCATTTTTTTTGTGTTAGGGACTTACAGAACTGATCCTCTATTACTACAACAGCGGTGGTTGAAGCTAAAAACCAGGCAGTATATATGGGCTTTATACAGAATAGATTAATCAAAAGCACAAACCTAGCACGCATAAGCTCCTGGTGCAGTCCATCAATGTCAGCCCTCAAAAGTGGAATCTGCAGATTATCAGCTTTCAATTTTGCAAGGTCTTGTGTGAGGTTCTGAACTTGCCCCGCCAGATCCTGCCTAATAGTATTCAGCTTTTGAACTTCAGCACGAAGCTGTATTGCCTCATTTTTCAAAGGTTCTGTAGCACGAAGATCAGCTTCCAGCTTCAACCCTCTCTCAATTAGCTCCCTTGAATGCATTTCTTGTTCTCCACGGATATCAGCTATGGCAAGATTCATGTGATGAAGTTCCTCCTTAGCAGCACCAAGCTCGCGCTGCAGAGCCATCCGATCTTCAACCAGCCTCCGATTTTCACCCAAAAGCCTCCGGATTTCAACATGTTGCATCTGAAGCTCGTCCTCCAACATGGCAGGATGAGGCATAGGACCCCGAAAAAGAGGTCCTTCTAGGGGATACCCACGCCGACTGTCAAATGCATCACTAGGAATGCGATTTCTCCCCGCCATTGTAAGCTACCCTGACAAGAGAAACAGGAGGTGAAACAATAAAACTATGATACAACATGGCTATTAACTTCTCCTAACAAATTAGAATCAAAGTGATCACTAAAAAGTACTATGAAATGCCATCTAACATCTTCCGAAGACTATCTACAACTGAACATCAATGATTATGAATTGCTGCATTTTTATGCATTCAAAATCTCTTTAAAGGTCCAGATTTATTTATATATAAAAAATAAAAATAAAAACAGTATCCATAAAAATCAGCATCATTAAATCAAGAGAACAAGCTACACCATCAACTACAATAATGGTTACCAATTTTAACCCACCTGTAACATTGCATGTGTAGCAAAACCAAATAAAATACTCCATATGAAGGGATGGTGAAAGAGATATTAAAAACATACTCAAATTTTCCATGCCAATTATACAGAATTGAAATATATGACAACAAGCTAATACATAATCAAAAACAAGTAAGTACTTAGTAGTATTTGATTAGAAAATTCATAGTTTTAGACATTTGTGTTGCGTTTGGTTGGAAAATTTGGAGAGAGATTTGGAAAAGGAATGAGAAAAGGTGTGTGAAATTTAAGTATATTTTATTCACATTTCACCTGCCTTTTCCATTTTTCTTTTCAAATCACCCCTCAAATCCCTAACCAAGCATTGGTAAAACACAAATTACAACTTTTAGTATTTTTCATTGCATATGCAAATCTATACTCTTGATGTCTAATAGTGTTGTGCTTCACGCCTTAATTTCTTTATTATTTATTTTTATATTATGTATGCCACTAGTACAAATATACATATCCAAAGAACAAATTGTATCTGTGGGAAATGAGGAGTAACACAGTGAACATGAGATCGAAAACTTTGTCCCGCTTTTATAATCCTCGTGGATTTTCTGGGAAACCAAACGGTGTTAAGGTGTTCAGAAAGAGCAAACCCAAGAGTTGTAAAACAGAAACCCTAAATTTCAAAGATAGAAATATGACAAGTCTAAACTCTGACCTTTTTTAAGGAAATTCAGATCCAAGACTCTGATCTGTTTTTCTTTCTTCGATTGGGATGTTCAGAATGGAAAGCCTGCCAGGGTTTTTGTCTGTGGAGACGCAGGCGAGTGGTCTTTGGAGAAGAAAGACGATGAGATCATATCATACGGCAAACGGATCCTGTACGACGCCGTTTCATCCAGTATCCAGTCTCCAGTCTCCTATTCGGAATAGGACGGCCCAATCTGGAGCCTCGTGCCTCGCCTGTTGTTAAGAAGTAGAGGGTGGGATTTGATTTCATCAACTATTTTATGGAAGAGTTTTTTTGTTTGATTGTTGGGTGATTACGGATTGGGTGAGATTGGCTGACATCTCATTTATTATCTGTTTAAAATTCAGTAGAATAAACTACATCTGTTATCGATTTGGTGAAGGTAGAGTGAGGAATGTCAATTAGCGAATGAAAGTAATCGATTTGGCAATTTAAACTTTATAAATTTTGAGTATTTTTTCAAATTATAATTAAGTATTTTTACAATCTCCAATGACTGGTCCTCTAGAAAATATATGTATTATTTGTCTATAATAGACCATGGCACCATGCACACATATTTTTAAAGTATTGTTTTGGAAGACTTACGTATAGGTCTTAATAGGTAGATTTATTATTCAATAGGTCCTATGAGAATTAATGGCATTTTTCATTAAACACTACTAAAAAATACTACTAATTGTTAATTTTTAATGACATTTTAAAAATTTTGTCACAAAAAATATCCATAATTATAAGTTTTAATGACAATTTAAAAAATCATCACAAAAAAGTCACAAATAACTTTCAGTGATAGTTTGAAAAATTTGTCACAGAAAAACATCACTAATTGTAAGTTTTAGCGACAATTTATAAAAATAGTGACAAAAAAAATCTCTAATTGTCAAATTTTAGCGACATATGTAAAAAATCATCACAAAAATTATTTTTAATAACAATTTTACTAAAACTTATTTTTAATAGAACTTGATGAGAATTAACTCCAACTATTAGGGCATATTGATAGTTTACCTTATTGGGCTTCATTTTCACATAAATATTTTTTTTTTCTATTTTATGTTGTTACTTGTTAGCATTTTTTTTTTTTTTTTTTTTTTGCGGATTTTTTTTTTTTGAATTTCATCCACAAGTGGATTGGGTTCATACGAGTGTGGAATGATTGATTTGCCATCTAAACAGTATTTGTAGATTTTAAAATATTTCATCCATATTCATCCTTTGAAAGACACACATCTACCCAAAATCAATAGGTTGGGTCAGGTTGGGCGAGTGAGGCGGATTGGACAGATCCATAATTATCCCTAGTTTGGTTAAAAATTGATAAGTCGGATTAGAAATTCAATCATACTCCATGTCCTTCGTATGTGGTCATAGAGGAAGTAAGATACAAATGTTCCAGTCAACTATTATGTTCATTAGGATAATTCTTTTCAAACATCTAATCCCATGAGAAAATAAATATGAAATATATATAATTTCTAATTAAATAGTCTAAGGACTACGTATTTCAAAATTAACAGTTCAACGGATTACAATCCTCTCTTATTTAGTCTGTCCAAACAAATTACCCAGTGTTAATTTGGTATATTTTTTAACTTGGTCTAGTTTGAAATTTAGTTTTTTTTTAATTATTTTTTATGAGATTTTTTTAAAAGGAAAAAATACATATTATAATATTTTTATGTATTTTTCTTTTTTAAAAAAAGTTATATGAAAAAACCTAAATGATTGTGGTGTATTTTTTATTTTATTTATTTTTTTTTTGGAGATTTATTAGAAAATTCTTTTGCAAGTGTTTGTATATCAATTAGTCCATAAGATATTTTTGTATTCTAATGAGTCCTATTATTTGAACATTTGATCTATCAAATCCCAATTTTCATATTTAAAGTATTTTATGGACATTTCTACCTTTACAAATATTTTTTGAACAATTAGTAATTTGGTGATGTAAATATTCATATTTTACAATGTGAATATTCACATTGACGTGTGAATATTCACATTTGATAGTGTAAACATTCACATTGGCATGTTAACATTTACATTGACGGTGTGAATATTCACATCATAAAACATTTACACTGTAAATATGAATATTGTTAAGGATATTTTGGTAACTATGTCACTCATAGGACTTATTGAAATATAAGAAAATAATGTGAACTAAATGGAACATAAGTAGATAAAAAAGAATTTATAAAAAGGATCTTTTTTTTTTATAGCGAATTTTAACTTTTAACTTCTTTTTGAGTTTTTATTTTTTATTTTTCCAAAAAACTAACTTCCCACCAAACAACCACTTACTACAAAACTTAGGGGTTGTTTGGGATGACCTAAATAAGTGTATTTTTTGTCTTTTTATGAAAAGATGTGCAGAAAAGTAGAGAAGTGATGTAATAAAAAAAAGATAAAAAGATAAAAAGATAGATTATATTGGAGTTGCCAAACTTGACCTTAGGCACAAATTTAAAAGTCTGACTTTAATTTGAGTTGGATTTGGACATACACGTGCAGTTCAAGAACCCAAAATCTAAATTATACAAAAAAAAAATATTTAAGGTAAATTACATTGATCTTTGTTGATGGAAAAAATGCAGTAAGCCTCATAAATTTGGCATAATTATATTAATTTTCCATTAAGTTTTGATTCATATAACATTTAACCTCTTTTTTTATTAGAAATTCATTAGTCACATAAATGAAAAAATAATATTGTCATCTTTTTCATATAAAAATATAAATTTATCTGTATCTTTGTGTCTTCATACCATTTACATTAGTTTTGATTTTTTTAATCTTATTAAAATGAAAGTAAGTGTTGTTGTTTATTTTCTGATGTATCAAAAAAAAATGAAATTATATTAAACCTATGTAACTTATTGTATTTTCTTCAAATTTGAATGGAGGTCAATGTAATTTAGCCAAATATTAAATATTAGTCCTTCAATTTTTTTGCTAAACATACCTCAACCATTAAAATAAAGGATAATTGGTGAAAAGTCTAATTTAAAGAGGGTATAAAGGTATTAGATTCAGAAAAATAAAAATAAATTAAAAAAGAAACATCTTATTTAGTAATAAGGACATTTGTTGGTCAGAAGCCCATTAACACTTATCTGTTGAAATTTTTATATATAACCTGTGTGTTCAAAAAATCAATTTGTTGAAATTCTATCTGTTGAATCTTTATTTTTATGTGTGTGAGAGTGAGACTTAGGCTGCCTAGTGCTCCTCAGCATCTTGATCTGTCGAAGACGGGGAGAGTGAGAATGTGGGAGATGTTTGGCGTAGACGGAGTGGTGCAGGAGGAAGCTATGGAACTCAAGGTTGACGCCAAGGGAGATCTAATTATTAGAGCCTAATCCCACGGCACTGACGTGGTAGTTAGAAATTTGAGGGCAAGCTAAGGTTTAAGTTGATTAGACGATAGTAAGGAAGAGTTGGAGAAGAGAGAGAGCTGAATTAATCGTTATTGATGAGGGCTCTAATGCTTCAATCACAAATCTGGGTCCATCCATTTTGGTGAATCAATGGTGATATATGTATGTGTGTGTGTGCGCGTGGATATATGTATGTAGATTTGTCTTCCCTGTGTGAATATGGAGAATGAGAGAATGATGAGTGGGAATGGTGACTAGTTTGATTTATAAGAGAGAGAGAGAGAGAGAAAGAGACTACCATGGATGTCCACTATGCTTTGATGGAGCTGAAAACTGAAGACAGAGAGAGAGTATGTGTCTGTGTGTCTGTGTGAGTGAAAGAGAAAGAGAGAGAGCGGTAGAAAGAGAAAGATGGAGGAGAGAGGAAAATGAGTTTGATCTCAACAGATAACACGCGTGGATTCAAACAAATTTAAAGGAGCGTCCTTATGGACCCAAACAAAAAGGGTCACTAGATCTATGTCATTAAAAGTTTATAAAATGGACCTATGACCTAAGCACTCTAAAAATAACATATATACTTAGGCCTCGTTTGAGAACAAGCTAATTTAGTAACTTTTTGGCTATTTGGCTAAAATATGAGCCAAAAAAAACTAGGATGTTTGGGATGACTTTTTGACTTTTTACGAAAAGATGTGCAAAAAGTAGAGAGAAAAGAGAATCTTTGACTTTTTAGTATGAGTTGTTGGCTTTTTTACTAATTTAGTAACTTTTTGACTTTTTGGCTAAAAGGGAGGGTTCCCAAACGAGGCCTTATGTTTCACGTAAACATCCCTCTCAACTCTTCATCTCTATTATTGTTGTAAGTAAATATTTTGGCGTTATATTTTTATGTTCAATTTCTTTAGTAAATTTTTTTATTTTATTTTATGTTATTACTGTTGGAAAAAATGGTTTTTTGGTGATTTTAATTAAATATTAAAGTGGGTCCCAACCATCTATTGTGTTAGGTCTAAGTGGGTCTAGATACTTTGCAATGAGATCTTTACACCACAAATAGTATAGCCAAAACCATTGTAAATTGAATGAGAAATTATCCCATGAAGTTAGATTCATGAAAAAGGTAATGGGGTTTGTAACTTCTGCCTTTATTGCAGAGTTTAATAGTGCATTAATGGGGTTTGTAACTCCTGCCTTTATTGCAGAGGTTAATGGTGCATTAGTGACCAACCATAAAGGCTGGAGGCTTCTCCTCTCTCTCCTATACATGTATAAATTGAGACCCTCCTGTCAAGTCTCCAACACAGAAATTGTTTCTTCCATTCTTTAGTCAGTTTGCCAGAAAGTTCCTACTGTAAGAGAGTGTTGCCACTGTTTTTGTTCGTTAAGCTAGACAGAGAGTGCTTCTGCTGTAGTTGGTTTTTGACCGTCGTATCTTGGGAGACAGACGCTGGGATTCGTCAAGCACTCTACCCGTGAGGCGGCGAAATCTGTTTTAAGGAAACTGCTACTGTGCAGGCTTCGGTTTGATTTCTTTATCATTTTATTGTTTTGTGTATTTCTGTTGAAATTTAGTTGTAATTATCAGTATATATTTTTGGTATATAATTTTGATTTCTTCATGTATCTATTTAATTAATTTCACAATTTGAACAACAAGCTTAAAACAGATTTCTATATATATTTTTTTTCTTATGAAATTGATCGAATAGATTTATATAGACACTTGTATAATGTTACTAGGAACTGTTGCGGAATTGCTCCCTATTTCAATGATTGTAAATTATGCAATGTGATTCTCTAATTGCTTAGTTTAATTAGAATGCTCTATCATAATTTGTATACTTAA